GTAAATACCTTTGTAACTTGTTCAGCTACAAAACTTTGGGTCCATCCCTGGACCCAATGACCCCTGTAAACTGTAAATCCTTTGAAATTTTCAGCTACAAAACTTTGGGCCCCAGTCCCGGACCCATTAGACCTCTGTAATTTAAATACCTTTGTAACTTTTCATACAAAATTTTTTGGGGGCCGTCCCTGGACCCATTAGTACCCGTAAACTTTTGACTACCGCCCCAAAAGGCTATGAGGTGCATAACAACATATTAAAAACTGTGTCACGCCTAGCCCAGAGGTTCAACCCTTTTGTCCTTGCGATGTATGACCACACGGGTTTTTGCGCTTCGAATAGTAATAAAACATTTAAAAATAATCCAATGAGTTTTTGGGTGGAGGGGACAAACCCAAAGGGAAAGCGAGTGAGAGTTAAGGGGTACTTAATACCCTCTCTCTAATAACAGTTCTTTTTCCCCTATAATCACCTTGACCAAAATTACTATCACATTTGCTTTGTCTGTTCGTAAGATGAAGTCCAGAATTTTCTTTTAAATTTATGGGATAACTAACAAATTTTGAAGACAATTGTTTGTCAAGGCTGAGCAAGCCCTTACAAGACGAAAAGTGCACGGCTGTAAGAAAAGAAAGGGGGAATTTTAATCGGGAAACCAAACTTTAGGGGTAAAAAATGGTCTCTGAGTCCGTGGCCGGGAGGCAGCACTCGCCTCACACCTGAGGTCCGTGTTCAATCCCCGGCAATGGAAAACGGGGGGTGTTTTTCCTTTAACCTGCGCCCATTACCTACAAGAAAAAAAGGTACCGGGGGTTTGTCGACTGGTGGGGCCGCATCCGAGGGTAAGATTTTAAAGGCCCAATGGGAAAAAAAGACAGACAGTCCCCCGCTAACCACTGACTTTCTTGGGTTATCCGGGTGGCTAACCCCCCGGGGGTTAAAAAACCGAACGAACCTATCTTATCTTAGGCCTTTTGGTGCTGCAACCAGGCCCGCCACAGGGCCATTGGGTACGCATCCACACTTGTCCTTAGACCATTATTACTATTATGGGGGGGCGCTAAAACGTAGGGATTATACAGTGCCGGGGGGGGTGGAAGGATTCACCTAATTTAGGAAACTGGAGCACAGACCAATTCCCTTTTAAACAAAGCCCCCCCAGTGTCAAAGAAACCCCTCTTGAGGCGGTTTTTTAATCAGGGGGGGGCCTAAGGGGAAATTTTGGGGTTTGCAGCCCCCTCCCTTACCAAAAAAAAAATGAAAAACTAAAACTAACGCTGCTTCAAAATAAGTCTCCTAGCCTCCTGCCTTTCCAACCAAATAGCCACCCTTAAGAACGCCCTCATCCCATGATCCCTCTTCCTCAGACAGTCTTGCCGCGCCCCGGACATAGTACCGGCACTGCTGCTTAGGTCATGTTACAACAAAGACTCGTGTTAGGTGATTTTTCTATGACAAATAAAGAAATAACAAAGTAACTGGACAGATGACATATCAACAGTAGCCATACTGATATTGGCCAAAATGAAGAGACATTTCAGACATAAGTGATGAACTGCAGAAAAGAGGAGGTACTCAGAGCCCGCGATGGAGACAGCACTCAAAATGAACTATATCAGTAAAAAACAAATAAGGAAATAAGCACGAGAAAGAAAAGTACTAAGAGTAGGAGATATACGTAGAACTACAGGAAATGAATGAACGTTGAACAATGAGAAAAGAAAAACTATGCAATGTTTTTTGAAGGAAGCAGTGAAGTAATGGTTGCTAACATACTGGGTTGCTCAATACTCCGAATGGTATGTAAACAAGTCTCTACAAGGGGATAATAATAATACTAATATAAAATAATCGTTATTTCTACAAGTACGTGTACGACGTATATAGATCTAGCTGACATCACTGACTTACTATATAGAAAGCCCCTTGTTATGCAGAACATTTCGGGAAAATTAGAATAATATCCCCAGGATGCGACCCACACCAGTCGACTAACACCCAGGTGCCTACTTACTGCTAGGTGAAGATGACAGTAGGTGTCTTTAAGGAAACACGATCCAACGTTTCCTCCCGTACAGGGGATCGATAGTACACAGCATTTGTTAAATTCCGTCGCAGCTTCCATATTCTCTAAACCCTATCCCAATAAATATGTCACCAAGTGATATGTCTTTCAACAAATGTTTATTCTTCACATGTTATTTACTTATTTCACTCATACATCCACCACTTCCTCCCCCCCCAATACCTTTCCCTCCTCCCCTAACCCAACACTACTCGAAATCCCCTATTGCCATTCTTTATTAAAATCTTCGAGTTCATCATTGATTCTGCGGTGCTTAATTATTAGTTTCATTGAAGAAACTAGTAAAAAATGGAACGTTGTCTACTCATTAACGCTGAGCTGGTGGAAACAGTGAGATGATGCCAGGTGTTATCTAGATAACACACACACACACACACACACACACACACACACACACACACACACCTCTTGAAGGCCGGAGACAAGATATGAAGGAAGACGTAGGTAACACTTTATTCCAACCACTGTTGCATGGAACAATATTCCCCCAGTGTTGCACGGAACATTGTTCCACACTGCATGGAACAATGTTCTACACCCTGTTGCATGTAACAATGAGCCAGTGAGGAAAGACACGGGTCGTAGTTTGTTCACATAATGATTGTGGTATGGACCATTTAGCTAGCTGTAGTATTATCAACACTGACACAACATCCGTGAGATTCTGTAGTGAAAGCATCACTTAACTATATATGAAGAAGGTGAGGGGATGTGTATAATATTTCAAGTTCTGGCATAAGATCAGGTGTACTGATGAAATTAATAGATTTTATTTGAATTGTATCTAGAGTTGGGAAGATCATTCAGGTGTGTGAGAGCAGTATTCCAAACAAGGGTGACTGAGACTTTTGCAAAGCTGAAGTAATTTAGAAGTTAAAATATCTCCGGAATAAAAGAGAATTCTGAACTTAATGGAAGTACCTTTGCAACTTTAGAAGCATTATATTTCCAGGATAAACAAAGTGATTGTATTCGGCGGAAGATTAATATTACACGTATTATTATTATTCATCAAATTTCTCTAAACCCATGTGGATAGTACAACGCACCGTTATAGACGAAATCTGTATTTTGGTATAATTGAATCTGGCAAGGAAAAGTGCCTCTAAGAGCAACCCGTCCTGCAAATTACTGCAATTAATGAACTTAAATGGGTGGAGACGTGTCATCTGTTTCACCACTATACTACAGGCTCAAGATTTATTTTTTTTATTAACATCCTCAGATACAACGTAGTGTGCGGATACATTTTTCTTGACACCTGAATATATCCTGAGATTTGAAGTCCTCATACGCACTGGTATTTTTTGTCCACAGTATGACTGACCTCCAGCAGGACTGGAACATTAGAAAACGGGTATAGGGCGACCTATTTTACGGCTACATCAGATACTCGAAGCAGATACTTCCTGATTTTCGAGTGAATACTGAGTTACTCGCCACCCAACAGGAGGCAGAAGAGAGCTCTGGTAATGGATTATCTAATCAGACACAGAAGTTGAGTAGTGAAGGTTAGATCCGAAGGTGGAAAACCCGAAATGGGAAAAGCAGTCGTGGGGTGTCCGGACAGAGCATAGGATAACCGTTATGCATAGCGTTATATTACTGGAAATCTATTACAATATATTACACAAATACAGGAAATTGTTGGTGGTGGCCTTGTCGGAAACTGGTTTGTTGGTTAATGGGGGTTAAAGCTTATCGACTTTACTAGTGTCAATAAGGCTACACGTAACTTTGTCACCATCACACTAGAATACTTTAATCCCTGAAAAGGGATTAGAGTAAATTCTCAGCATATATATGCTGAGTGAAATACACTCGATGTATATATCCTGTGTGCCGGAAATGTGGCACGGCTTGGCTATATGACATGTTCTCTGTCCTTCCAACAGTGGACTTCACGTGCTCGGGATTATCCCCAGTTGAAACTGGGTGGCATGTATCAATAGGAAGGATCGTTAAGTTGATATTTAGGCTTCGGATCAAAATTTTGTTTTTTAAATGGTCTTGAGGGCACAGAGATGTTACGGCCCTAACAAAAGTACAATATGTAGGTTTAATCCTTATAATAAAGTCCAATAATGTGACTTATTTTCATTATTATAAATTAGTACTTTACACATGTGGCACTGCGATGACAGTGGTAGAACCATTCTTCTCAGTCGAAGTGACCAGGGTTCAATATCTAGAAGAGGTGAGACGCTTAGGCAAACCTCCTCACCCCTGCTGCTCCTCTCCATTTATCAGTAAATAGACACCTAAATGATGATCAACTTGTATGGGTCGCCTCCTAGGGAAGGACATCCCAACAGAAATAATATAAAATCCTAGGCTTTTTTTTGGGGGGGGGGGGGGGCGATATCTTGGGTTAATTATACTGCTTACTGACAACCCTCTTTCTAAACATTACAAGTTAAAAGACCCACATTGTCGTTTACATTAACGCTCCACCAGGTTAATAACCAGTAGAAAATCTCATCTAGACTAGATTAATAGCAGTAGGCTACTAAATGCTGCCGCTGATAGACTTACGCTAGGATATACCAACTCCAGTTTGTATGGAGAACTTAATCATCTCTATTTTTATTATTATTATAAGGAAGCAATAAACCCGAAGAAGCCATGCAGCGCCAGGAGAATGGAAGTCAATCAGGACTGATCCAAGGATTATGAGAGTAGCCCCAATTCCTCGGATCATGAGCCCTTCATTAACAAATGAGCACCTGCCCCAATGAAGAGCACATGATAGTATGCGGACAAGGACCACGCACCAGTATATATATATATATATATATATATATATATATATATATATATATATATATATGTGTGTGATGTGTAGTGTGTGTGTTGTGTGTGGTGTGTGTTGTTGTGGTGTGTGTGTGTGTGTGCACGTAGAATTCCTCGGATACTTAACGCGTCATTAATAATGCTGTCTGTAATAAACATCATTATATTCACTGGATTAACCTTGAATAAACGTAATTTTAACTTACCCTAGACTTGGGTAATGGAGGTACAGGTGGAGGATAGTCTGGGTGTTGGTTGTGTTTGCGTCTGGTCATAATGATCAACACCCCAGCTAGCACAACCAACACCAGAAACACACTGCCCAATAAACTTCCAAGCACCACTGGATTACGCATAGCTTGCATGGACAAAGACGACATGGCATATTCTGGAGGGAAGCAATCAAACTGTATCGTGGCCGGACCTTCTATAAAGACCACAAAGCCCTCGTAGTTGTGGGTCCGCCACCACGGACTGGAACTCATAGCTTTAGACAGCTTCCCCACACTCACTTGTAGACCATGTTTATCTCTGCCGGATCTCACATGTCTGTAATATTTCACTTCGATTTCTTTCCAGGGGCTGTGCGAGACATTCTCCAGTTCCCAGTTGTTAAGATCGAGGTTCTCATATGTGACATAGGGATCGTCCACATTCCATAGATTATCGATCTTCATATGAAATACAAGTTTACGAAATTCTGGTTCTGGCTTTATGAAGAATTTGTACTGGGACAATTTGACTTCTTTAATCATGTGAAGCCCCAGCTCTCTTGATGATTCAACCACAGTGCAATTCGTCTCACTTTCTCTCTTGCTCCTGACTTCACGTTTGCCTTTATCCCAGACAGTCACTGACAGATCTTGATTTGCTCTCTGATCACTAATGCCTTTAGAAATGAGCGATTGCCGCTGTTCTTTCTGGAGCTGACTAATTTGACTTGCACGAGACAACTGACATTTTACAAGAGGGAAGCACATCGTTACACTGAACAAGACAATCTTCAAATAAGTCATCTGCTGCATGATGAGTTGTATAGCTTTGCTCTTTTCATACGAATCTCTAAAACCTGCGACGTGCTACCAGTCGACTGACATTGTCATTAACTAGGGATATAGCAACAGTACCTGACTATCCATTTGAAAAGGGAGAGCACGACTGACGGTAACGCATTACAAAGACAAGACTTACTGGCCAGGATGTGAGTCACAATCCCACACAAGAACTTTACCTAACGAAGACCACTGACGTAAACAGGACAAACCGAGGACTGTGATTTTCTTTCCTTTCTAGTTACTATGGCTAGAGCCTTACAAATCCTGCTTCTATCTTTGAAGACCTTAAATCCCTTCATGGACCTTACAGTGCTGCCAGGATCTTTGAAGACGTTTAAGTTTTGTCAGGATCTTTCAAGACCTTACAATCCTGCCAGGAACTTTCAAGATCTTAGAATCTTGCCTGGATCTTTCAAGACATACAATCCTTCCTGGATATTTCAAACCATACAATTCTGTCTGGATCTTTCAAGATCTTACAATCCTACCAGGATCTTTAAATATATAATTTTGCCTAGATTTTTTAAAATCATATAATACTTTCTGGATTTTCTGCAACTCAGTCCTGCCTAGTTTCCGAAACCTTACAACAATCCTACCAAGGTTTTCCAAGATTCTACAGTACTCACAATTTGTTGTACTATTTCAGCCTTGATTTGAGGAAGGGAAAATTAGCTCCAGCTACTCTGATCTAGAACCCATCGCCATTATCAAGACGCCCTCTTGTAAGAAATACGCTAATGAGATCAATGAGGCCTTAACCTGGGTCAATTTTGTAATCAAATCAGAAGTTGGAAATCGTTTCAAAGTGAATTTAAAGTAACGGGCCGTTGTATGGAAATTTTAATTTTTTAAAAAAAGATTAAATTTATTTTAGATACGGTATACGTAAGTAAAATGATTATACCTAGTAAGTGTGTTTTTACTAGGAAAACCTAAAAAACGAATGAAGGGATAAATTTTTTCCAACCCCCCAAAGACGAACCTGGCAAAAACCCATTGGTCATATATAATATTGGGGTGCCTATGCCCAGGTCAGTTTATTTTAAAGCTTCCTGTATAAACTTCAGGACAGGAAACATTGAGGTAAAGCTCTGGGATCGCAATTATAAAAAAAGGGAAAGCGTTAAAACCTACAAGGGCATCCAGTCGTCTGGGGTGCAGAGGCCCGCAGCTTTAAATTCTTCCATGACTGCTTTAATTTAAAAGGATAATTGTCATTGCGAGATAGTTTCCGCGCACTATCTGTTTAGTCAAAACGAAAAGTGGTACTTGTGTTGCTACCCCGATCTCGGCCCGTTACAGCCGGTCACAGCTGGACTCGTGCGGCCAACAATAACAGCGGGTTTGATAATGCCTTGATCCACCGCGGGGGGCTGTGCCCCCCCGGAACCCCCTCCGGTGGGAAGAAGATTATTCCTCCCCATTTTTTTTTTTTGTGGCGAGACGAGCTTGAGGCACCTAGGTCTATTTGGTTGAATGAGTCAGTTATCGTTTAAATTCCCCAAAATTTGTCACATAATGTTGAAAAATAAAAAAACGTAATTATGTATTTATTCTAAATTTATTATCTCAAGATGTAAGCAAAATAAATTTAAGACATGAAATTCAAAAAAACGCATATGTCATGACAAAATGTAATAAATTTCCCGCATCCTACGTAGCTACAATGGCATAAATATGGCCACGAAAAGTTTTCATGCGAAGTAAAATGGAAAAAAGGAATGTGATGAATGGTTGGGAATGACAAGTTGTTAATTGACATTTAGAACCCTTGGGGTTTTTTATTGAGGAAACGTTCGCCACAAAGTGGGTTTTGTCAGTATACAAACTCCCCTGTTTTCAGTTCTCCTTTGTATGGATGATGAAGGCATGGTGGCGAAAATATTCCTCAATAAAAAACCCAGTGTTGCATTTTTTTTTTACAATCGGCCGTCTCCCACCGAGGAGGGTTTACCCAAAAAAAAAAAAAATCCCCAAAAAGAAAATCTTTTATCATCATTTAACCTTTTCCCCCACTCCCCGAAATCACAGTTTTGTAGGGTGCTAGAATCAACAGTTTAGAAGCATTTGTATAAAGATACCAAAATATCCCTAACTTCCAATATCCCCAACCCCCTTTAAAAAGCAGGCTTTTACTTCCCCTTTCCCGGACTCAAGTCCCGGGTATATAAAAAAAAACCCGGGTTTCCTGAATCCTTCACAAATATTACATGCCCCCACTCCAACAGATCGTCGGCCCCAAATACCATTCGTCCCCATTACTCCTATCAAACACCTCATGCACGCCTGTGGAGTCCAAGCCCCTCCCCCACAAAACCTCCCTTACCCCTTTCCCTTTCCCAACCTTTTCGAGGACGACCCCTACCCCCCTTTCCCTTTCCCCCTACATTTTATTATAATAAGGGGGGAAAGCGCTAATTATTATTTTTAAAAGGGGAAGCGCTAAACCCGTGGATTATAAGCGCCTGTTGGGAGGGGGAAAATGGAAGGTATTGGGGGTTAATTTAGGAAATGGACACAGATCCAGTTTCCTAGTAAGGGCCCTCTTCCCGATAAAGGGAAACCTTCCTTGGGGGGGGGGAAGTGCTAAACCCGGGGTTATACAGCCCCTGGGGGATGATGTGGAAGGCATTCAGGTTAATTGGGGAAAACGGGCACAAATCCAATCCCCAAAATCAGAGCCCCTCCCAACATAAAGAAACCTTTCCCTTGAGGGCCCTTCCCTAAAATTATTATTAAAATAAGGGGGGGAAGCGCAAAAACCCGGGGGATTATACAGCGCCTGGGGGGGGTGTGGAAGGCTTCGGGGTTAATTGGGGGAACTGGAGCACGTCCAATACCCTAAATAAAGGGCCCCTCCCCAACATCAAAAAAACCTTTCCTTGAGGGGCCTTCCCCCCTACAGATTTATACGCTCCCCTGTCATTCTATTTGATCCTTTCTCTCAAAATGCCAAAAACCCCCTAAACCCCCTCTGATTTATACTTTTATGCATGGTTTTAAATTTTATCAAAAGGGAAAACGATAGTGTTGTACTGTGTTTGTCCAGTGAAGTTTTTCTCCCCCAACTGGGGCTGCGGGGGGAATCGAGTCTCGTGGTATAGGCAAAATAAATACATACAAAGCTTAAGAAGGTATGATAGGACCACGCGCTAGGAGGGCGGGATAGGTTTTCCTGGGAGGTTCGGGGGTCAACGCCCCCGCGGCCGGTCTGGACCGGCCTCCTGGGGGATCGGACCTGACGAGTCTCGCCTGGTTGTTCAAGTTGATCCACCAGGGGGCCCTTTGTACAGACCGGGCCGCGGGGGGTTGACCCCCGGAACTCTCCCCAGGTAAACCCTGATCCCCCCTCCCTAGCTGGTGGGCCCTTTATTACTGTTTTAAAGTTTTGTATGTATTTTGCCTATCCACTTTTAGGTAGGTCGTTAACTTCCTGACCACAAAATTAAATCAAAAAGAAGTGCTAAACCCTGACCCCCCAAAAGCAAAATAAGTATTTCCAAAACCCCCCTTGTTTTCATCTGTGCTTTTAACTTCCCGCTTGTTCTGCAAGTTCCATGAATTTTTTGTCCTTAGTATTGTAAGAGTTAGCTCTTTTGTTTTCTCATAGTTTGACCATGAGCTTCTTTAATGCTTAACCAGATATGGGTTCCATATGGCATGCTACTCCCAAAGGTGGGGTAACATATGCCGTGATAAGGTTGTGAAGTTTCCCCATCATGTTCCTGAAAACTAACCTTAAATTTGCTGGTTTGTATTTACTGCATCGTTTTTTTGGTGAGGTGTCTAGGGAGAGCTGGGGAAAAAACACTAACCCTGAGGCCTTACCTTTTAGGAGGTTTGCAGCTTTTGTTCCCTTTAAACCTATTAACACTGTTTTGTTTTTTTTTTTGCCCTTTTCAAGGGAAAATTTTAGACCAATTGTCAGCCCAGTCCTGCAGTTTGTCTTTCTTGATTAAAAAGGGTGTCTCGTGCTTGATTGCTGCACACTCAGCTCAACACTGAAATCCGGTGGTTTAATCCCCGGGAGGGTGGGGAAAAATTAGGATGCGTTTCCCTTAAAACCTGCTGTCCATTTCGTGCGTAAAATAGTACCGGGGGGTTTGCGTTGGTGTGGGATGCATCCCGAGACAAAACTGGCCCAATTTTCCCGTAATGCTCTGCATATTATTATTTTAAACAAATTATTATTTTTAAATCAAGGGGGGAAACGCAAACCCGGAGGTTTTACAGCGCCCCGGGGGGGGGGGGGAATGTGGAAGGCATTAGGCTTAATTCGGGGAAAATGGACCAGGATCCAAATTCCCCAAAAAAGAGCCCCTCCCAACATATTATAATCAAAAAGAAAAAGCTCCAAAAAAGGGGCTTTCTTAGTGTGTCATTGATGTCAGCTTGGCTTGTATAATTGTAATGACTTGTAGTTTATTATTATAAAAAGGGGGAAGCGCTTAAAAACCCGGGGGATTATTCGGCTGGGGGGGGGGGGATGTGGGGAAGGCATTCAGGCTTATTCGGGGAACTGGATTATTATTATAATCAAGGGGGAAGCGCTAAACCCCTAGGATTATACAGCGCCCCGGGGGGGGGGAAGTGGAAGGCATTCGGGTTAATTCGGGGAACTGGAGCAAGATTCAATTCCCTAAATCAAGGCCCTCACCACTCAAAGGAAACCTTCCCTGAGGGGCGGGGAACTGGAGCAAGATCTAATTCCCTAATCAAGAGCCCTCACCAAATCAAAGGAAAACCCTTCCCTTGAGGGGTGTTCTTGTAGAAGTAAGATCTTTTCATTCTCAACTTTTAAAATTTCAAGCTAAAGAAATCATTTCCCGCTGTTCTCCGTAACTATTACTCAAATCTCCATTTTGAAAACCCGATACCCTCGATTCCTGCCCTGAGCGCTGTATAGCCCTTGTGGTTAGCGTTCTTTTAATTATAAAAAATAATAATGAACCATAGCTAGTTAATGACATTAGTGGCGGTTTAACTGAAATTCTAGTTTGGGGAGGGTTTTTTTTTGAAAAAAAACAACCTGGTTCAAATGTATTTGCAATAGATTTTCAGGCATCTCAAGATTTTTTGGGGTTTAGTGAATTGACATTATGCCTCTGGTGTCTATGGGGGTAAAAGGTTTTTAAAATGAAAAATTTCATGGTATTAATGTCCTCTCACATAAGGTCCCAACGAGGTATTTTTTCCTATTAAATAAAAAAAGCGCTTTAAACCCACAAAGGTCTTCGCACGCAGATTTCCCCATAAATTTGTGGGATAAATGGCTGAGGTCTTTTTGGTGAGGTTTTGTTTCAACTGCGTGTGGTTGGAGTGTTGATGTCAAACAGGGTTTTGACCCTTTTTATAAAAAGTTTT